TCAGAGGAACGTGGTCGAGTTGGGGTATTGCCGGCGCTCCCGTAGCTATTGACGTGGACCTTTCGTTGCCCGCCCGCATCTTTTTCAAGCTTTGTCCCTCCAAGGGATCTTCGTCGATACTTCGACTCCTCTTTATTCTCCTCCTTCTGTCGGGCCCAGTTCTGTTATTGTTCGATAGGTTCATCTCGGACTTAATCAAAGGAACCTGGCTCAGAACCCATGGCATAAGTCTGCGGTGACGGGCAGCATTTCTCCTTGCCCCGTGGTAATTAAATGTATCCTGGACAAATTGTATAATGAGGTGTGATCGTCTTTTAGCCTGCTCTAATTGTCGCTTTGCGGCAAGCAAGTTCTCCGTGCTCTTTTTCATCATCGATATGCGCTTGTCGCTAGGAATGTCAAAACGGTTTGGATCTTCTTGAGTCAACTTATGTATTTGCTTCGCTTTCAACTCTGCCTGTTGCACGGCTATCAAGGCCTTGTTCTTTGCGGTCTGGGTCTCCATGCCTGATTCGGGGGTCCGCACAAACTCTTTTGTCTCGTGAGGTTTGAGAACATTCTTATTGACGAGCGCTTGCCACAGCCTGTCGTGCTCTGGCTGCAGGCGTTCGATGTCGCTGACGTACTTGTCAAGCCACCAGTATTCGTAGTTGAGGTACTCGATCCATGTCGTCAGCTTGTCCTGATTCTTAGAGTCTTCGTCGAGCTCGAACGGCTGGGTGAAGCCGTAACGCGCAAGCCGGCGCTTCACCGCTGCTTTATAGTCGTGGAATCCTTGGCATCCGTGTTCCCTATTGAAACGTCGATCCTGACTGCGGAGGAATTGCTGTAGATTCCATCCCGTCTTAAGCCTTGATGGATCAGCTTCAATCTTTGCTATGAGCTCTGCGCCAGCCTCCTCGGTCATGTCTTCTTTTATCAAGCGCTTCTCTCGCTCAACGTACGCAGGATAACCACCATCATCATCCTCACAGCCTCGGTTATCGTTCTGCCACTTGCGGAAGTCTTGCCACCTCCGCAACTGTCTCTCAAATATGCCCTCTGCGCGTATATCTAAAAAGTCTTCCTGCCAAGGAAGCAATATCTCAGCGTAGCTGTCTGGATCGTTATGCATATTGTTGATAAGGCTGACGGGGTATAATGGGCGACCGCCATTCTCTAAGAGTTGGTGATAAGCCCGAAGTTCGAATTTGTGCCTTTCGATAGGTGGTGTGGGGACCCGCTGTCGCTCGAATACTTGTGGTTCGGGTCGTGATGAAAAGCTCCCTTTAGGCGATACTTGACGGAGGCGTGCATCCAGGTCATCGAGATCGAGCGAGTAAGAACATGCCGTGGGACTCGCGGCCAGATCGCGTTTTTTGGCCCTAGATCACTGTCAGCTGGAGTTTCTAGAGATACGCGCCGATGAGTCAAAGGAACTTACTCTAGTATCCTAGCAAGACGGCCGCGTTCATCCTGGGACAACTTATGCCAATCATCAACAGAGATATCGTAATTACCGTTAGGCAGACGACATCTCTTCATGAACTCGGCGAGCTCAGCGTCGCTCATTTCAGCAATATCGCTCACAGATATCGTTTTCACCATTGTGGAAGCCATGTTGCTATCGATCATGCATGACATGTGCAGTTATAAAAAAGATGAAGGGGTACATTGGGCATGCGACTAGATTGAAGCCTCAGGCAGCTAGCTGGAAGAAAGTGGGGCAACGGGAGCCGTCACACTAGTACATTCAATTTCATGGGGCCCACGGCTATTTCCGCGTACCCACGTGAACTAATGTTTCTAGGTAGGACCAGAAGGCCAATCAGGTTTGTGTTCTAAGCGCTGGGCTTCTACAAAGAGTGCGGGGGAGGGGGGTATTGGATTAGCATGTCGTTGGGTCGGGTCACGGCGAGGAATATATACACCATACCACATCCGTTTTGTTGTTGAAAGCCGATAGCTTTCTTAGCCTTAACATCATTCATCCTCGTCTCTACCTGAATATCATTCATCATGGAACACAACATCGTTGCCCATCTGTACCCGTGTAGCCAAAATTTTCAGATGGTAGTAGCCGCGATGCAGGCGAATCCGCGGTATGTCCCTCCACTTCTTCAATTTTCCGAAAATTGTCACGAACGCGACCGTCACGAGCGAGCGTCGACGGAGCCACCTGAGAACCCAGGTGCTTCGGCGCTTGACTATCTTCCAAGCCTGGTGGTCAGACTCAGTGACGTCCCACGAACGGACAAAGGCCTTATCTTCGGTTCAAACCGGAAATGTGACGTTCGCTTGTCCGCCCAGGTATCTCTAATATCCACTTCAGCCTAAGCTTTGACGATCTCAACCGCCCCATCATCCAAGACTTGAGTTCTCTCGTGGGAACTCAAGTCACCTACGACGGGGACGGCAAGGGCGTCCGGAGGGATTTTCGCTGGATCGTCGGCGGCGACGATCACCCTCGAAAAGCGAGTAGCATTATCATTACAATTCCCGACACGGTTTCCCTCCAAATTGTAGTCCAACCCCAGAACATCGAATCTCCGGCTTATGTCAACGGGGTCAGGCGGTTCAAGCAGGGTGCGGCCACTACTGATGCTCTTCTCAATGAGCTGGGTCTCTCGAATCCGCCGACCAGAGGAACACAGACACCCGCTTCAGGCGAGATCTACTTGAAAAGGAAAATCGGTCGTGGGACCTTTGGGGTTGTGAGGTGCTTCTGGAACGTCAGTACCGGGGAGGAGCGAGCGGTAAAAACGCCTCACCGCAGTGCAATTGAAAACGGGCAGGTTGATCATGCCGCGTGGGCACGTGAAGCTCGCATTATGAGCCTGATTTCGCATGTTAGTACACCAATCACCTCTCTGCCACGTCCTGCTAACGACCCAACAGCCCCATATCGTGAAACTCATCGAGTCATTTTTTCACCCGCAACCTGAACTACACCTTGAATACATGCCCTACGGGTCTCTCCAGCATTGGATCAAGCACAGGAAGGGTATATCATACCCTGAGACCGTCACAATCACTCATCAATGTTTATCGGCTCTGGCATATCTACATGGGCAAGCTACACCAATCGCGCACCGAGATATCAAGCCAACCAATATCCTTATCCAGACTCGCTCTAGGGGCGCTATCATTTTTGTCAAGCTATCCGACTTCGGAACGGCACGGCCTGACTTGGATTTATCGACTTACTGCGGCACACATCTATATCTTGCGCCAGAGGTCCACTTAGACGAGCAACGCCGTGTCAGACTCGAGAGGACCTTGGGTCACGCCACGACTGTTGATATCTGGTCTCTTGGTGTGGTGGCGTACCAACTGTTATACAGTCTACGAGGGTGCACGGGTCTTGGGGTGGCCTTGTGCGAAAGCATTGAAAGAGAGCTCCGAGAGAATGTCCGGAGAACACCAGTTGCACTGGGATCGATATTGGTCAGATGCATGGTAGTCATGTCCCCAGCGGCACGGTGGTCGGCTAGCCAGTGCTGCAACATGCTTGAAGAAATGCTCAGAACCGAGAGAGGTTTCTTTCAAGGATTGACTTCAGCTTCATCCTCCGCGGGTGAGGACCAAGCGACGCTTACTCCTAAGCCGCCTTCGTCCGCATTGACGATCAACCAATACGACGTGTCCCAAGCACCGTA